TACCCAATCCCAAGTCTAGCCATTCCTAAAACTCTTCCCTTCACTCGCAATCAAAAATTTATGAATGTTCTCGGGTCTCTGAGCAACTGCAGCAAATTAGCAATCCCAGCTCAGCCTTTGTCGATCATTTCCAATAAACAAAAAAAAATACAAAAATTATTTTCATCATTATGAAATGAATGCAATCGATTTGCATATTTTCTTTTACGACCTCGAGTAATTTACCAATGCAGAATTTATTATTATTTCATTTCTTGATTTCTCTCTCCATCAGCTGCAAGGCGGCTTTTGTGGCTGTTTTATTGTCGCAACTGTCCCTCTCTCTCTCTCTCTCTCTCTCTCACTCTGTCTGTCTCTCCCTCTCTTGGCAGTTGTCCGATCCATTGGCATTGCCAGTGACCATGTGTCATTTGCTGTGGCTGGGGCCATAATGATGCCAGACTCTTTGCCTGTTTACCTGGCCCGCTGGCCGGCGATCTGGCGGCAAAATATCTTGTGGCTGGATCAGTCATCAGCTTTATGTGGCATATAATTTTTTTATTTGGTTCGTTCATAAGAGCATCGTAAAATTTTTGATGACGTTCGTCAAATTGCAGTTGTCGTTCGTTGCCTTGCCTTGTCTTGTCTTGTCTTGGTTCTCGTTTGCTCACAGCTTCCGCAGCATCACAAACTCAATTTTATATGCACTTCTTACGCGCTCTCCCATAAAACTACATATTTTATGATATTTCGTTGTGAAGCTCGATCAGTTCACGAATTGACCTTATTTAAAATATATTTTTAAAGCTCAGTAGGTAAATTTAATTAACAATTATTACATATGATTGACTGCGAATTCGAAAATTTTATATAAAAGTATTCAATTGAAATTTTAATATAAATTTTCTTGAAAAAATAATTTAAAATTTATTAAAAAAAAAAAGATTATTATCAAAGAGTTTGTTCAATAATTGATATTCATTATTATTTAATAATATAAAAATAATATAAAGGTATACCATTGATATTTTAAAAGTAATATCTGTAAATTTTAAGAAAAAATAATATAATTAAAAATAAGTTTCTTTAAATAAGTAATTTTTATTAAAGAATATTTTATATAAATTAGTATTGAATATAAAAATATTAAATCAACATTGTAAAGCATTTTTAAAAATAATACCAATATCTGTAAAAATATTTTTTTTTAGAAAAAATAATAAAAATATTAAAATTTCTTTAAATTAATTATTATACATAATATAACGAGAAACAAAAATACTAAAAAAATATATAAAATATGTCATTATTAAATACTAAATTTAGTGTCATTAAATGCGAAAATTTGACAGAATCATAGAAGGCTTTGACATTCTTCTGTTGGCTTTAGAAAAGTTTTAGCAAATTGAAAGTTATTCGCTTGGCTCAGCTCGATGCGGCTAGTTCAGAGCTCTTAAAATTGTAATTTATAATTTGTTTCTGTAAATTAAATTGAGTTGATTAATTTTGTTGTGAAAATGAATTCGCGTCGACGTCATCGCGAGGACAGCCCGGAGGAGCCGGTGCCAACCAAGTGCCCAAGGCGCCCGGACCACAATGAGGTGATGGCCACCATTGAGAATCTGATGATAAAGCTGAGTGACTACAACATCGCCACGGTGCAGGGACGCATCGAGGACCTGAGCTACTATGTGACGGATACGCTTCACATCTACAAATGGGACATACTGCGGTCTCTGGTTGACTGCGTCGAAAAGTATCCGATGCAGAGCGGCGCCTATGCCACCTTTGTGGGGCTGGTCAATGTGCAGGACTACGAGTTTGGCAGCGAGTGCCTCAAGTGCGTGACGCAGCATCTGATGAAGGCGCTCTACGAGGGCGAGTGGCTGAAGGCGCAGAGCCTGGTGCTGCTGCTGGCCGACCTGGTCAATACGAATGTGTTGACCATTGGCTCGATGCTGCAGCTGCTCAACTCCTTTGTCGATGTCTGCGAGGAGGAGGATGCGTCCCAAAGGCGTCGCGATTTCTACGCCCACCTGGTGCTCGGTTCATTGCCGCTCATGGGACGCGAGCTGTATGAGAAGAAGGAGACTGCGCTGCAGACGCTGCTCAAGCGTCTCAAGCACTACATCAAGAAGCAGCGCAGCTCCGGGGAGAGTACGCGCTTGCTGCGTATCTTTAACAGCTGTGCCGATGTGCCTCAGCACGATTATCTGGAGCTGTTGTGGCTGCAGATCATGCGCCTGATGCACGACAAATGGATCGAGAAGGAGCTGCTGCGGCCCTATGCTGCCTTTGACAGCAAGCTGAGCACCGCCCTGCAGCATCATCTGCCACCATTTCAGCCGCCGTGCTACGAGGACGACTCGGCGGACTATCCGCATCCCTGGATAGTCTTTCGCCTCTTCGAGGTCACCGACTTTCCGCCGCACATGCGCATGCCGGACGAAATGGACATTGGACGGCACACCATTGAAGCGCACATCATGGAGACGGTGCGACTGCACCACCTGGAGCGCAAGATCTGCGCCGAACGCCTGCTGGCGTATTGCTTGGCCAAGCCCACGCTGCCCACGGAGCACTGCATCATCGAGGTGCTGCTGGGGCAGATGCTGCAGCTGCCCAGCTCCCCGCTGCTGACCATCAACTACGGCGCTCTCGTCATTGAGCTCTGCAAATTGGTGCCCGACAAGTTTCCACGCATTGTTGCCCAGGCCGCCGACATGCTCTACACGCAGCTGGAGTACATGAATCCGTCCAGCTTCGATCGCTTTGTCAATTGGTTCTCGCACCACTTGAGCAACTTTCGCTATCAATGGAACTGGCAGGATTGGGAGAACAGCATCGCCTTGCCCGAATTTCATCCCACCCGTCTGTTTGTACGCGAGCTCCTCAAGAAGTGTATGCGGTGGGTA